TTTTCTTCTAGTTTCAATTTTTCGGAAGCGTTAAAACCTAGTTTCTAATTAAAATTTTTGGAATCTAAGTTCAAAATATTTACATTTACACATCAGTCAAGTTTAAAATATTTACACATAATTAGGCTTAGCTGGTTTAAATTAATAGAGTAAGTTTAAGTTTATGATTGTGGCACACCTGCAACCCAACACATCATCGCCTTAGACAACTCAGATGTCTTGGCTGGCTTCGCGGCTCAATTCTCGGTTTATCGGCTCAGAATTTCATTTTTATCCTATTTCCACCGTTCCGACCCTCCCGAACCTATTTTTTACCATAATTAAGGTAATTGAGGTTGTTTTAATATCGTATTTCACAAGTTTTAGTTAGATTTATATTAAATTTGTGAAATACTAACGAAAGTGACGAACCGTCTAATAGGAAACGACAATCGACAATAACTTAGAACGCTTTTGAAGAGCGGGAGCTAACGTAATTAATTAGGGAGAACGCCAGCTAAGTCGAACCAAGTAATTGGTCCTACCTTCGTTAGGTTATAAATTGAATGTTGTATGATGACACATGCTTGTGGTTTCGCATGTGTCATAGAACATATATGTAGATTGTTATGAAATAGTACGTAAATGCTATGCGATGTGACTATTATGATGTGTTTGATGATTTGTTATGCTTTACGATATGATATGTTATGATCGCATGAAAATGTTACGATATGACTTATAAATTACATAAATGACATGATATGATTGACATGAAAACAACAAATAGCATGAAATACAACTCCGACATATGCATGAAAGTTATAATCAATTATATATAAACGTTATGAAAAATGTTATGGAAAACGTTATGATATGAAAAATACGTTAGCGAGGTTGTATTAAGGATAAGTAAAATGGAAAAATTTAGAGATCTCATGCATTATTGTGTGCTCATGCATCGGGGGATACCTCTATTCCTTCATGATAGTACGGACGCATACACTACTAGGCAGGGAAACAATCATTATGTTTGACATAGTTTTGCCGTGACGGTCGCTACTCCTAATGAGTTTTCGACATCAACAGCTCCTAGTGTATGCTCACCCAACCAAAAAGGGTGTAGGAGGTGTGCGAACCGACTTGTGGGTCCATACTCACACGTGTGAGCCGTGTGTAGGAAATTAATTACACATTCAAGTTGCTCGTTAGGATAGCCGCGGTAGAAAAATATACTATTATGTTAGGTCTCATGCATGCATTTGTATGTCTTTGCATTATAACTCCGCTAGGGGGTCGTTTACTGAGTATTTCTTAAAATACTCAAACCACGTGCTATTATATTCTTCAAGTAAAGGTAAGACGTCTCTGTAAGGCTGACATTAGCATCACAATTCCTAAGACGGTGTCACATGCTTAGGATAGATTCACATTTAATTTGTAGTAGACTATAGGTCATTTCTATTTAGTAGCAGGTAGGTTGGCATTTCATTTTGTATTGTTTTTCGTTTTATTTATGTTGTATTAGTTTTATTCAAAAGCATGGAATAAAGTATAAAGATTGAAGGTTGATTTTATTATAAGGTGTCAATAGACAATTCCGCATTAAATGTTCATAATATGTATACAACAGATACGACCTTAGGTTAAATAGAAAATTTAGGGCGATTACAAAAGTGACCTCTAAATGACATAAAATTTGTTGAGGAGCCTTATGTCATAGTTTAAACTGATCCTGCAAGTCCATTTGAATATGCTAAGGGTTTAAACCAAGATCTGGGATGGTAAATGACCAAAATACCCCTTATGAGAATTCTAAGATGTTTTCAAGACAACACTCAAAGTCTCTCGGAGGTCGGTGGGAGTCTGTGCCTCATTATGCAACTCTTAAAATCAACACTCGAGAACTATTCATCCCCTTATTGAACAAGCTATAAAACTCATGACACTTATTTTTATTTAAAATATTTTTTTCTAATTTTTTAATTAATAAAATTAAAAATAAAACTTAATAATTTTCCATCCCTTCTCTCGACTGCCATCGCCATCGCCATCGACTCGTGCACCGCCACCGTTTGTGGTGGCCAAAAGCTAAGGTGGTAGAATGAACTTAAATTAAGAAACATGAAGCAAATAAATATATAAATGAAGAAAAAAAAAACATTCCAAAATGGTTGAGGACAAAAATAGGCAAAAACAATGAATAAAGCAAATAATGGAGTGGACAACTAAAAAGCAAAACAACCCAATAAAAAAAGAGGAAAGATACTCATTACCAACACTTTTTTAATCAAAAAAAAAAAATGTTGACTCATAGCTGTATTTTTTTTTTTTTTTTTTTTTTTTTTTT